GAGATACAACAAAAAATGATGTAAAATGTTGTATTTTTGTAATCTCGTAAAGCTAGAGGCATCATTCTGATCAGGGAAAGATACAAAAAAGAAAGAGTGTTAGTGGAACACAGCCACCTTGTTCTTTGTTGCCAGTGAGCAGATAGAAATTCAAATTCTTTGAGTAATGGAAACAGAACTAGTCTCCATAACTAATGATTTTTTTTTTATAACTAATGATTTTATACTATCATTTTTACCTATTGGAGCTTCTAGAAAAAGGAAGACATGAAAAAATCTCCAGATGAAAATAATTTTTTTGAGTTTAAAAAGCAGGTTTTAGTTGCTAATAAGCTTTTACAAAACCAAATGGCTAACTCTTAGAGACTGATAATTTTTCATCCTGATGTGCATAATTTTGAGTGGTCAGTTTGGACTGTAAGACACAATAAAGAGTTTAGGGAAGTCTTGCTTATCACTTAGACTTGGACTTAGACCATGGCCGACTGGCCCTGTAGCATCCCAGCTTTGCTGCTGCCTAAGAAAGCCTGCTAACTTTTTTGACATCCTAATTTGGCATTCGCAGATCCTAGTTGCCGGGACCTGACTCTCAGCTGAAACTGGGATGGTCTGCTATAGATTGTTCCCACCTCAGCACCAGATGTGCTGAACTGAAAGCAGGCACAAGCTAAATGAACTCTAAAGGAATAAAATGAACTTTAAATGAATTCAGACTCAAATCATTGCAGATTTGGGTCACCCCTCCTGTAGGGCTCTAAATTTATGAAACCATCCTGCGTTCTGGCTGGGCCATTTAGGACAGTTGCTGATGCCCACAGGAAAAGGCTTGTTCTCTGACTGGACCATCTGAAGTTGATCTGCTGCTTGGCTCTTTATGTCTGATACACAAATTGATTGCATTCTTGTGATTTCTGCAAAAACTATAAATTGGGGGAAGGCACGTCACAAGAAATGTGACTCCTTCCCCACTCCTGACAGATTGCTCTTGACCCCTTCTTGGGACTGTGCCACTGCTGTTGGTGGTTGTGTTTGGCTTTCCAGATTAGTTCCGGTTTACAAAAATGGATTGATAACTTCACTCCTCTCACCTTTCTCCTGATACACAAACCTTAGTAATGCAATTTGCTTAGTAAATGCAGCTATCCCCAGAAAGAGAGTGATAACTTTTCTAAGCTGCTCACTGGATAAATGATCAGGACAAAAGGGAAGAGTGGTATGAAAACTCATTTTCAAAATATTTGAAAATTCAGGATTTCATCTTGACCAATTCCTTGACATGATATGTCTTTCTGGTTAAACTGTATAAAAATGTTTGCCTATGAAAATGCTCTTAAACATCTTGCATACAGTTCTTCCAGACAAAAGTTCTGAATGAGAGGAGAAAATTGTAAAACTCTGGTTGCTAAATGAGACAGCTGCTTTCAGGAGACACTCCCATTGGAATCAAAGAATGAACTGAATTGTTTGGACTGGAGTGGAAACCTTAGGATAGGAGGCCTGCGGTGGGAGGCCCTATTGGAGGTCGTGTTCACCTAAACTGCCTGATTAATGTATGTGATGCCTAACATTTGTAAACTCTTTTTATCCAAGAGTACTGTGTGTGCCCTCTGGAATTGTACTTGTCTGTGAGCCCTGACTGTCCTGGCACTGCCTCAGCCTTGGAAGGCATTCAGGTCAGGTTCAATTTACTGGACAGGCTTGTGCTGTGCCTGGATTTTTTTCTAAGAATAGCATTCTCAGGCTTGTCATGTGAACTCTTTTTCTGCACAGTCCACCCCATTGGCTCTTGGCCAAGGTGTCTTTGTCAGTAGGCCCCAATGCAGCAAAGTAAGCTTAATCTATAGTGTTAGCCTCGAGACTAAAAACTGCTTGCAAGTTTGTCCCTTGGATGACATCTGAAGACCTGGATTTGGAGAGGATTCCACCATCCTCTTAAGGATAAGAGTGGTTTACTGTGTGTCTAAACTGTACAAAGAGTATGCCTTATGCTGAATACCTGTTTTCCTTTTGAGAGTCTGGAGTTTGGGTATGTGCTATGCAGAAGGTGCCCATGTGACCAGCCTCTAATAAAAACATTGAGTCTCTAAGAACATCCTTGGTAGATAGCATTTCACACATGTTGTCACATTTTGATGCTGGAGGAATTATGCATGTACTATGTGACTGCACTAGGAGAAGAATCTTAGAAGTTTGTGCCTGGTTTCCTCTGGACTTTGCACCATGCACCTTTTTTCTTTGCTGTTTTTGCTTTGTATCATTTTGCTTAGTAAACCTTAGCCATTAATACAGCTGTATACTGAGTTCTGTGAATCCTAGTGAATCACCAAACCTGGAGGTAATCTTTGGGACCTCCAGAACAACAAGAATGTTCATAGAAGCTTTATTTATAATACCAAAAAATGGGGGGGGGATCTCAAATGTCCATCAACAAGTGAATGGGACAAATAATTATACATTCACACACTGGAATATTATACAGCAATGAAAACAAGTGAACCAATTCTACATACACCAATATGGTTGAATCTAATAGACATAATGTTGAGTGAAAGAAACCAGATGCAAAAAGGTACATATTTTATGATTTTATTAATATAAAGCTTAGAAATGGACCTACTTATTTATGGTGATTGATGTTTGAATGGTGATTAACTTTGGGAGCTGGGGGATGTTAATAACTGGAAAGGGGCACAAGGGAGGCTTCTGCAGTGCTGATAATGTTCCATATCTTTTTTATTATGTTCAATTAGCCAGCATATAGAACATCATTAGTTTTTGACGTAATGTTCAGTGCTTCATCAGTTGCGTATAACACCCAGTGCTCATCACCACTTTAATGTTAATTAATAGTGCCCTCTTTAATATACATCACCCGGTTACCCCATCTCCCCAACCCCTCCCTTCTGTAACCCTCGGTTTGGTTTCTGGAGTCCAGAGTCTCTCATGGTTTGCCTCCCTCTCCGATTCCATATATTGATTTGGGTTGTGTGCTTACTATGTAAATATTCATTAATTTTTACATTTAACATTTATATACTTCATGTATATTATACTATAAGAAATTACCCCCAAAAAATACTCTAGTGTCCAGTGATGGGTGAAAAGATAAACACAACATGGGGTGTACATACAGTGGAAAATTTTTCAGTCTTGAAAAAGAATAAAATTCTGACACATAGTACAAAATGGGTGAACCTTGAAGACATTATTCTAAGTGGAATAAACCAGTCACAAAAGGACAAATATTGTATGATTCCACATATATGAGGTACCAAGAGAAGGCAAATTTATAGATACAGAAAGAATGGTGATTGCCAGGGGCTGGCGAGAAGGGAACATGGGGAGTTATTGTTTAATGGGTACAGTTTCAGTTTGGGAAGATGGAAAAGTTCTGGAGATGGGTGGTGATGATAGTTGTATTACACTGTGAATGTACTTAATGCCACTGATTAAAAATGGTTAAAATGGGGCGCCTGGGTGGCTCAGTTGGTTAAAGCATCTGCCTTCGGCTCAGTTCATGATCCCAGGGTCCTGGAATCGAGGCCCATGTCAGGCTCCCTGCTCAGTGGGGAGTCTGCTTCTCCCTTTGCCCCTCCCCCTGCTCTTGCTCGCTCTCTCTCTCTCAAATAAATAAATGATTTATTTTAAAAAAATAAAATAAAAATTGTTAAAATGGTAAATTTTATGTTATATATATTTTACTACAATAAAAAAAAGAAACAAAATGGAAGGAGCAGTGTATAAACCTGGTTGTGATATCAATCTAAGGTAAAATGTGTGCTTTCCAGAGTGGACCCTGGAATATGACCAAGGCATTGACAGCTCTCTGGTTCTGTCCCTAAAAGTGAAGCAACACTAACAATGTGCATCTTTGATAAGTTTCATACTTAGGATAAAACAGGGGCAAAAATAAAATCCCCAAGAAAAATGTGTTCCAAAAAAAAAAGAGGTACAGTTCTGTCAGTACTAACATGAAATGATATTCAATATATATTTTGGGGAAAAAGTTTGAGAACAAGCTCTTTGTGTATAGTGCTATCCTATGTTATACAATATATCCTATGTTATAAAAGGGAAAAAAATGTGTGAATAAATGAACTATTTCCTCGTTATAAGAGGTATTGATGTAATAATTGCCTTTTGAAAGACAAAAAGAAATTCAACTACATGTAACATAAACATCAATTATCAGATAGATTCTAATTTCAGAATGCTAACCTATAAAAAAACAAGACATCTTATATTCAGGGAAATAAGGTGTGTGTGTGTACATACATACATACACCCATAATATTTAGACACGTGAACAGATTCTGTATAAATTTTCATTAAAATTATGCCTTTTGTAGCTGTCTGATAGTTCAAGTGTTCCCTTAAGTTTTCAAAAATGTTCCTCTGTCAAGTGAATTTTACACTATGTGTAAGGTTTCACAAAATTTCCCATCAGACACAATAATATTAAAATATTTTGACTTATTTGGATAAGATGTGCTGTTCATTGAATTAAAATGTGTCAGCACTATGCAATTGAAGGAGATCAAGATAAATTCATTTCAGTTTTTTGGTTTAGTATGCCATCTTTAAGCTGATGAGCTTTTGTTCAGCTTTATTGAAGCATAGTTTGCATTAATATTTGATAGTCAATATAGCTTTTGCCGTTTTCGTGGGATTTAAGGAAATTCAGCATATAAATATCAGTAATAGAATTCTATCATTCATAGAACTATTAATTTTCATGTGCATTCTTTTCTCTTATATATAGATTATGTGACTTCTTTGTAAGAGCATAAAGTCCTTTAAGAACAGAGATAATTGCATACTCTTTCTCTTGGAGAGCCCTACAGTGCTTCGTATGGCCTTGTACATGACATAGATACTAACTTTGAGACACAGAACTTTGTTCAATCAGGAAATGTAAACCTAATACAAAGAAAAAAAACTGTTTCCTGATTGGATTTGTGCCCTAGAAAGTTCTTGAGCATTTCTCAATTCTATCTCAGGATGCAACAGTAGAATGAAACTCAGTGGACGACCCTACAGGCATATGGGAGTCCTTGGAACTTCAAAACTCTATGACATTCGGAAAACTATCTTCACCTTCACTCCACAGGTGGGTGGAATGAGCTTTAGCATGCATTGAGATGAATGGAAGTAAAACAGAAACATTATAGAAATAAAACATTACTGGAGTTAGAACAAGTATTAGAGTATTTTAGAATTAATATGTAACAAGTATTAGGCCTTGCACATATTAAGTTGCTTAATAAATATTTGTTGAGTTGGACTGAATGGAAGTTGTAGCACAGAACAATGCCAAGTGATTGTGGCTACCAAGAGTAGTCCTGGGTGTTGCAGAAACAGTGACTAGGGATTTTATAAATGTTGGAGTACTTTAAAAAGTACTCCTTTTAAATGTTAAAAATAAGACTGTATTTGTCCTTTATTAACAAAATATAGTCTTTTTTATTTAGCTACCGAATTATGTGTTCTCTTTGTTTTGGGCAGGGGCCCTTTTTATATGCCTGGAAATCATTGATATCCTCTTCTAAACAAAAATGTCAGTACTGTTTTAGCCATGATTATGCACATTATTAGCCTGATATTTATTAGCCACATCACAATAATAAGCCAAATTATATGTGTGCATAGGAGGAGAAACTATTTTCTGGAAAGAAAGCTGACGCTCCCCATTTGTCATCTTATATCTGAAATTGTGCAGCTGAGGTATAGACAAAAGAGTAATGGACCATAGATTCTATTTCTGACCTTGCCATTTGCTAGCCCTATGACTTTGTTAATCCGCTTAATGTCTCTTGGCCTTATTTTCATCTATTAAAAGATAAGCCTTCACTCATTTGTTATATAATTAAATAAAATTATGTCCTTGAAAACACTTTGTAAACTATAGTACACTATCAAAATGTCAAAAACTATTATATGTACTAATGGACTATCAGATTCTTTGGAAAGAATGAGGCACTAAAGTTGGGGATATTGTTGCCTCTGTGACATGTTATATAGCCCTGTGAATATGTGAGTACTTGAAAATATTACTGGACAGTTGTAAGAGCAAATTATTCTGAGCTGTTATTTTTCTTCTTTTTCTCAGTTCATAGACCAGCAACAGTTCTACCTGGCTCTGGACAACAAGATGATAGTAGAAATGCTTAGAACAGACCTCTCCTACCTCTGTAGCCGCTGGAGGATGACAGGCCAACCCACCATCACCTTCCCCATCTCACATACCATGCTTGGTAAGGTTGTATGAGGCAAGAAACAAATGTATTTTTGGAATAAATCATGTGGTTAGTCCTTCAAACGCTTAGAGGCACCGGAGAACTACTCATTATCATTTAGTCTTTCAATAGTTATATATTAGCCCCTATTTGGTGCCAGGCACTTATCAAAGCACTTGGGTTACATGAGGTGAATAAGGCAGCTGAGGTTTCTACTCTCATGGAGCTTATGTTTTAGAATTAATATGTAACAAATGAACCAATGCAGAAGAATATTTCAGATGGTTTGAGAGCTATAATTCAAAAAATGTAATAGAATAACTTGGGGGCTACTTGGGGACTAATTGGCTTTTAGGTCAATTTGCAGAAACTTTATTAATGCAATTCATTTTAAAGATAATAATAATACATTCTGCATCTGTCTTACTCCAGTGGAGCATCAAGATTTTATAGATGAGTTCCCAGACTTATCCTTCCAAGGCTTGCCTAACCGAAGCAGTAAGATTTAACAGGGAGAAGTGAATAGGCTTTCAGTTTATCCTTCCCTTATTGACTGGGCTTCCTGACATTGCTTATTTGAAACTGGGTGAAAGGACTTATTTTTCTTTCAGTTCCTGGAGGACTAGAGCCAATACTGAAGCACTGCTTTCTTTCTGTGTCTTTGCAATTGCTTCTAAAAGCCTGTTTGTACTGCCAGAGTACATAGAATTCCTTTTCATTAGAGAAGAATCCTTTCTCATAAATCATTCAATGTCCAGTCAGACTGTTAGGGATATTGGTCACATCTCTAAAGTGCTTCAAAAACAGAGGAACTGAGAAAGTAGGATAGTCTTTCTTCTTTTTGCCTTTCTTCTTTATTTAAGCCAATTAACAAATACCTCATTAATAAACACTATGTTCCCAGAATTGTCTTCAGAAAGTATAGAGTCCAATTGGAGAGGCAAAGCTGATACACAAAAATAACAGAAAACAATTGAAGACAGTTATATAAAGAAGTACCAAACCATTAGATTAGTATTTTAAGGTGAAGGCGATCAAGTTGTTAAAGAAAATTTCTTGACTGAGGTGGGACTTATCAAGGCTTTTTGGGATGGGTAGAGGGAAAAAGGAAAGGCACTTTAGTTAAGGGAAAAATACCATGAATGAGACTAGAGACAGGGTCGAGCTTGACTTGTGAGTGCACAATGGAGAGGCCAACCTGCATAGAGTGGCTTTGCATGTTGGAGTATAATTATCCACAAAGTTAGATAAGGTGGGGTCACATTATGAAGGCATTGAAAATAAGCAAAGATATTTAACCAGATTTTCTCAGAAGTCTGAAAGTATCAAAAGTTTTTGAGCAAGGAGCGACATGATGAAAGTAGTGTTTACAGAATATTGATTTGATGACAGTATACACTGTAGTGAGGAGAATTTGATATCAAAGAAAATAATCCAGGTTTGAGATGATGAGAAGATACGTTGGATTGGTGGTAATAACAATAGCGTGGGAAAGAAGAATACAGGAGTCAGTTTAGACAACACCTGCAAGTCAAATGTTGGCTAACTAGATATGGGATATGAATCAAGGTGATGTGAAGATTTAGAGACTAGGTAAATAATGCTGCCTTTGATAGAAGCAGAGAAATTCTATAGGAAGATGCCAATTGTAAAGGGACATGTTGAATTTGTGGTGACAAAGAGATTTCAAAATTGAAATATCTAATAGGTGAGATACACAGCCATGGCTTGGGGAGAAAAATAAAACTAAAGATCTAGATTTAAATCACAAAGTTTTGATACTTGGTATTTGGTCACACAACAAAAGCAGCAGTAACAATAGCAGTAATAACTGCAATATTTATTGAACATTTTCTCTGTGCTAGGCACTGAGCTAAGTGCTTTCAATGCATTATTTTGAAATCTCTACAACTCTATTCAGGTAGGTAATATTAATAGCCCCATTTTATAGAGTCACAAAGCTTGTGACAGAGTCGGGCCTCTAACCAGGTCTGTCGGTCCCCAAATCCTACGTTACCAACAGCTGTGTGTTTTTGTTAGTGACAGTTTTGTGCTGGTGAAATGAGAATGAATATGCTAGCGATCACATTAAAATGTGAATTAGTTAAATTATCATATTAAAGATAAAGATATCCAGAATACATATAAGACCAAAATCCAGCTAGATGCTACTTACAAAAGCTATCCCTAAGATAAGATTATATGGGAAAAACAGAAAATAAAGGAATGTGTAAGATAAATCATGTAAATGCCTACAAAAAGGAAGCAATGGTGGCAACACTAATATTAAAAATAGTAAATATAATTCAAGGCACATGTCAGTAAAAGGGACAGGAAGGATATTTTATATTGATAAGAGTTACACAGAAAAAAGCAGAATCAAATCTATAAATACTGATAACAAACTGATGGTTGCCAGAGGGGAGGGGGTTGAGGGATTGGACAAAATGGGTGAAGGGGAAAGGGAGATATAGGTTTCCAGTTATGGAATGAATAAGTCATGGGAATCAAAGGCACAGAATAAGGGGTACAGTCGATAATATTGCAATAGCAATGTAATGAAACAGACAGTAAGGACACTTGGGGTGAATACAGCATAATGTATAAACTTGCCAAATCACTGAGTTGTACACATGACACTAACGTAACATTGTGTGTCAACTATACTCAAAAAGGGAGTTGCAGTATAACAAGATGACTTTTATCTACACAGCATCAGTGGAATGTATAAAGCAGATATTTAGGAAAACTTAAAGACAATATGATAAAACCATTGTACAGTCATAGTGGGAAACCATAACATACTTCTATCACAATGTCACAGATCAATTATAAAAAATAAAGATATAGAGGGTTAACAAGCCTGATTTTTGTATTTATGGGTATATATAAAACTATATCCAAAAAGAATACACAAAGAATGTTTATTTTTTAAAAAGTAGAAATCATGTAGATGATATTGCCAGACTTAAGACATAAAACTAATTAACACAAGAATAATAAAAAACCTGACCATGAAGGAATTAATTTTTTTTTTACAAATGATACTTAGATTAAAGAAGACATCAAATTTGAAATTAGTGTTCTAAAATAAAAAAAAAATGATACTACTACTTATCAAAACTTAAGAGATTTGGCCGGAGTCATCTTTGGAAATTTTCATATCCATAAATACTTTGGAAAAAAAAAAAAGGGAGTTCCAGTTTCCAGACAAAATGGAGTAGACTCACTTCTCACTATTCCTCCTGCTAAGTACAGTTAAAAACCCTGGACGTTATCTATAAAAAAAAAACATAAGAAAACTCTGAAAGTCTGAAAAAAGAAGGGAGACTGGCTAGGGACTTTGCACCTGAGAAATGACACAGCAGTGAGTATTCTGTCTCATATATTCTGGACTGGATGCTGGAGAAGTTTTTATCCCAGAAATCCAAATGTGTAGCTTTAAAAAGGCCCAAGAAAAACCTTTCTTTTCTAGCCAAAGTAACAGGAGATGGACAACCTAGCCAGACAGAAAACTTTCAGACAGTAACTGTCCAACTCTGGCCAAAACCACAGAAAAAAACTGCAGCCCCACTCCCACTCCTATAACCAAAGGCTGAGTCCCCAAAGGGGACCCTAGACTTCTACCTTCACATAGCTGTGAAGAAGCACCCCTCTTCTTCCTTAGGGGTAGTGTCTGAGAAGTGCTAGTGGGGAGCTTAGACTTTCGTCCTTGCCCAACAATAGAGGAACCTCCTTCCATACCCACTATTACTAACAAGGCAGTGTTCCCTTCCCTGCTGCACAGTATCAGAAGAGACGTGCTGAATCAGAGGATTCAGTAAGATCCAAAGTCTCATAAGATGATACCCTATATTTCCAGAATACAATAGAAATCACTTATACCAATGTCCAAGAAAATCATAACTTCAATGAGAAAAATTGATCAGCAAGCACCAATACCAAGATAACAAAGATGTTGGAATTGTGACGATTTTAAGGTAGTCATCATAAAAAAAAGCTTAATGAGAAATTATGACTGCACTGCTCTTGAAACTTGAAAGTAGGAAGTCTCAGCAAAGAAATAGAAATCCTCAGCAAAGAAAATGAAGATATAAAGAACCAAATGAAAGGTTTAGAACTGAAAACTACAATAACTAAAGTGAAAAACTCACTAAATAAGCTCAATAGCAGACTAGAGATGATAGAGTGAACTTGAATATATAACTATAGAATACCAGGAGGAATTAAGATGTGTGGAAGAACTTCACAATCAAGAAATGTAGAAATGTAAAGAAATGCAATTAAAGCAAAAGAAAGACTGACGTAGAAGGGAAAAGAGATGAAGACTGGTCAATATGAGATGGAAGAACAAATGAGACACCAAGGAGAGGAAAGTTATAGCCAGATGGGCTACAGGGATCCAAGAGAAAGAGACATGGGAATGGGTGGTAGAGGAGCAAAGAACAAGGGAGAGCCCTGTGATTCAGGAGGCCAGAAATTTCTACCTCTAGATGGTGGTGTGGCATAGGTTATGAAGCTAATCCTGGCGTTCCACCAGCAACCATGAGTAGTGCCATGATGGGAAGCAACATATGTACTGAGCATTTGGGGCAGAGAGGTGTGAGACCTGTGGGTGGACAGGGTCCTCGAGGAATGAGGCCTAGAAATCCAGAAGGATGCATCAGAGGGAGAGAAGAGTATGAAGGCCCAAACAAAAAGCCCTGATTTTAGATGTGGTATCTAGGTTTTCATTCCAGTTTGGTTTTTTGTCTTTTCTTTTTTAGATACCAGTCTTTCAAATTCTTATATTTTAGTAATAAAGCTGCCTTTTCATGGATGTTAGCAGTTTATTGACCTAATATTTGTAAATGGTCTAGTTGGGCGGGTACAATTACATAATGCAGTGTTTGAAATGGGAATTTTTTTCCTTATTTCCTTTTTTATTGTTTATTTAAATTCAATTGATTAACATATAATGTCTTATTAGTTTCAGAGGTAGAGGTCAGTAATTCATCAGTCTTATATAATAACCAGTG